GAATGATAACATATGGACCCCATAAATTCATTTTTATGCACAATAGCTATGGAATATATGAAGAATCTCAGAATAAATGTTGCAAACCTTTGAATCAAATCTATATGCACCCGGCCACAAGGTCTAGGCCTGCTCTAGGCCAGGGACCGGTCTAGACTCTGAACCGAACCAAGGGTAACATGTCCATATTTGGCAAGTCTGACCCAGGACCTATATTAGAACCTTCCAGAAGCCTGAACTAGAACATTCTAGAACCGGATCAGTGGATCAAGTCACACCGTCACGGATTATGTAATTAATTTGAGAGTAGTATATAAGGAGGCCTGTAAAACCCTAGATTAATAGATTAGCCCCCCCTGGGTGTGACTACTACCATCGTCACATCAGTCGGGTTTTGTCACACTTCACATATCGTCAGGTTAAGATAAACGTCAGGTTAGGTTAAGTCAAGTTAGGTTAAGTCAAGTCAAGTCAAGTCAAGTCAGGTCAAGTCAAGTTAAGTCAAGTCAGGTTAAGTCAAGTTAGGGAGAGTTGAGCCATATTGCTCCTCTCAACAAATCACATATCATCTCAACCATCTGCTCTATTGTTCATCTCAAGTGAAAACAGTCAAACATAATTTAAACAACATCCCAATTATAACTGATATCAACAAGAACGTCTGAATCCGTTAGCCGTTTCCTGCGGCTCGAACCCCGAACACAAAACCGCACAAAATTAGGATTTGATTAGTTGAGTTGAAGGTCCTGGTGATCTCCTTGATTGCTCATTTTCTACGTGTATTATCTGGAGCCCACCGCGAGGGGTTCATTCAGATATCTAAATTGAATCAGTTTCATTGTTGTCAAAACTTGTTGTTTTCACATACTTCTGGGTGCTAACTCAGAAGTAACCTGTCAACACGGCTTGGTCAAACTTAGGCGAGCCATCCACACCCCGCACAACTAGGAGGTCCAAGAATACTGACCTAGTTGAACCCCTTTCCATCACCCCTCACCGAAAGCGTCCCAGAAACAGGAACAAAGGCAAAAGCAAGGCCTCAACACCTGCTGATACTGCTAGAGAACAAACTAGAGTTCAAACAGAAGAAAGAGCTTCTGCTTGGGCTGAAGTTATCTCAGTGTTATCTGCAAAATCCTTATCTGAAAGACGCCCCCCTGAAACACCACAAACACAAATCAGTGATACAGATTTGTTTGGTGGAGACACTGAACCAGAACCAGATCTAAACTACTTGGCAGATACTAAGAGTGAATCTTCTCAAGGCTCAGCTAAGATTCCAAGAGTTCAAAGATCTTATTCTGCACCAGAGCTTCCAAACTTCCAAGGACTTGAACCTATCCCTTTTCCAGACTTAGCACCTGTGACACCATCAGTGAAGCAGCAACCTAAGTCAGAATCACAATCACCTATTCTTTTAGGATCAATACCCTTGCCAAGTTTTCCACCACCACCACCACCACCACCACCACCACCACCACCTCCACCACCTTTACCCAGAACACCCTTACCCAGAGTAAGAACAAGAAGACCAAGAATGTCTGTAGCATCTTTTAAAGTTCCACAACCATGGGATCAAAGTGCACCCAAGTTCACAACTGAAGATCCTGATGATTTACAAGAATATATTGATCAGATCAATAGAATCATCATCAAAGGGAACATACCTGTGGATGAACAGAAAGAATTGTTAACAAGCTATCTGCCACTGAAGAAACGTGATATTTGGAAAGGCCTACCAACTTACAAGGATACAGCCCAGGATTACGATGCATTTGTCAAAGAAGTCAAATCATGTTATCCTGAACTGGAAGAAGTCAGGCTTGGGAAATTGTCAGAGCTAGAGAAACTTTGTGCCAAAAATCAAGGAATCTCAGTTACAGAAGAGGGTAAACTGAGAAGATTTGGGCTTGAGTTTCTGAGTCTGGCAGATAAGTTGATGACTGCTCCAGCCATCCTGTTAAATAAAGAAGCATGCCAACGCTATTTAAATACACTAGAAGCAACTTTTGCTTTGAATTTACGTATGACAATCTCTACTAGGAATTTATTGAAAGGGGAGTTCCAAGCTACTACAACAAGTGGTTCTGCTGGGACAACTCAGCAAGTGGATCCAAGAAAGGAAGATCCAATTAGGCTGCAAGAACTTGTCAAGTTAGCAGAGAAACTTGCTGCAAATGGTCAAATGGATCCAAGTTTTGGAGCATCAAGTACTCAAACAGGGTATAGCAATATGCGTTCAACATCCACATTTGCCTTTGCAAAAGTTACGGAGCAAACTGACCAGAGGATTGAAGCCATTGAACAGGAGCTTGCAAATTCAAGAGATTCAACTGATCTGCTGAAAAAGCAGATACAGACCAATCATGAGGAAATGTTGAAGAGATTAGAAGAAAATATGAAATCTGTCCAAAGGGACCCACCCCCTCACATGAATCCACCTGCTGAAAATATGAATAGATCAAACAGGTCATCTGGTCAAAGGACATCAGCCTATGATGGTGCATGTTACTATTGTGGTGACAGTGACCATTTTTCCAGAGACTGTACATTAAAGAGTGTTCATATCCAGAAAGGATGGTTGAAAGTTGAGAATGGTAGGCAGCGTCTAGGGGATGGAAGTATGTTACCACTTGGTAAGGAATATCTTGGACACAAAGTAGAAAAGTATTGGGCAAGAAAATTAGGCCGGAATAGCAGTTTTCTCCAATCTGAAGAAGAGATGTTGGACCCTGATCAGTTGTCTGACACTGATCTTCTCAGAGATGAGATACACACTATGCAGGTCAAAATGAATCAATATGAGAGAGCAATGAACAAGGTTTCAACACCTGGTCAAGTATCCAATCAGGTGGTTCAACCCACCTTTACGCAGGCCAACAATCCAGAGGAAGTTGTCCGTGCCTTTATGTCTCTGATGATGAATCAAAATGGGGTGAATCAAATTCAAGAACAATTTGCTGTTACAAGAAGTGGCAGAAATTCATCCTCTGATAATAGTCAGGATTTTTGAAGAGCTCAAGGATGGAGGCAAACAAGTCAATTAAGCCTCCGGAGAGAACAAGAAAATCAGACTTGTCAGCTAATTGGAGAGATAAATCAGGCCAAAGATCAGAATCTATGCAGGAAGCTGGATCTTCCAAAATTATTGAAGAATATGTTCCATTAACTTCTAAGAAGAAAGGTGTCAAAATATCAGACACAGTTGAGGAAATTCCAAGATCACCATCTCTCTTAGAACTTCCATACAAATCAGTGGTACCGTTGAATACTGTGGCCCGAACTCCGGCAGTATCCAAGGAGGAGTTTCCATTCAATCAATTGGAGTCCGGACCTAGCGAAAAATTATATAAAGTTCGTGCACCAATTGAAAAGGAGGGACTCACTGACACCAGGCACAATGGCAACGGCGGCCGGGGAATGGGAGTTTGATTGGCAGCCCATGTGGCAGACCCAACGGCGGTTTCAACGGCAGCCAGGGCTTCTTTGTCCGAACTCTTTGTCTATAATACTTCAAAGAAATTTCCATTGATAACCCTATAGACATTATCAGACATGATACTGCAGCCTGTTGAGCTAATTTAAAAGCCTATTACTTGTGCTCCCACAAATTACATTTCCTCGGTGCATGCGAAATCTGATCCGCGGCGCCGCCCACTGAATCAGCCCGGCGGCTCTGGCGAAGCATCATTGGCACTGTATGGCACTCCTCGACCTTACCCGTTGCTCCAAGCACCTAGCAGGAGTCTTTGTAACCATCTATCCCATCGACAACGAGAGCCCGGCAACCCAGATCGGCCGTCCGAGTGGGGCTCCCACGCAACCTCTCTTGCTTCCAAGTCCCAACCACCACCATCGACTGAAGACGTTGACCACAGGCTAGCCGGAGAGGAAGGGCAAGGGCCAGGACACTGAGATGGGAGGTGGGTGAGCTCCAGGGATGCAGGACAGAGTGAGTGTGCCGAGCGCTAAAATATTCTGACACCAGCGCAACGTGGTATGCAATGTGCTCGCAGTCAGGCTCCATTCCGGCAAAAAATCGCCCCAGCGCGCCATAGAGGCACAACCAGCAGCTTCCACCACTTATCCCGGCATGCTGCTGCTGAAAATTTCCCAGATATCCATGATCCGACCGCTGAATTCCATCCAGCGCTGACTACCAGCCACCTGGCCCCATGACTCGGCGGTCTTGGTCCACAACCCACCTCTCACCCATACTTTTGCTCTCTCCGCCTCCCTTTCTCATACACCCAACCCGGGGCAGACTGTCCACGCAGGACCGCCCGGCCGGCCGGCCCGGCGCGTTTCGCAAAGGCCGGCTCGGCCGGCTCGGATGCGGTCGGCTCGGCGGGGAACGCCACGGGGGCGGGCCCGGGCGATGTTGCAGAGCGCACAAGCAGCGGTGGCGCGGTGCTCACTGCTGATCGCGAGGTTGCGGTGCACGTGCCCGTGCGACGAGACGGTCTTCCGCCCGCCAGACACGCGGCGCCGGTTCGGCGGGTGGGCGAGCCGCACGGGGGCGCGGCTTCTTCCGCCGGGACGACCCGCTCGTGCTGTCGTCCGATGCCCAGCCGTCGTCGTTCTCGTTTTCGGTGTCCTTGCGCTGGCTCGGGAACCCGGGCAGCGGTGATTCGCGGAGGCGCTCTTCGACGAGGTCGCCGAGCGCCTTGGGCCCGTGCTTGAGGTTGTCCACGAGGCGCCAGAGCGTGGATGACACTGGGAGGCTGGTCTATAGACCAGTCTTGTAGACCTAGACCTAGACCATAGACCATCAAAATGATTTGATCGCTTCACATGACATGTCACATCAAATCCTGATAGACCACATCTGATTCTCATAGACCCTATTGATTTCTAAGATGAGTTGACAATGCAAACTGCCATTTTTGGCCAAAGACCAAGTCAAGACAATAATAAAAGAGCGGCAGATCTGTGACACAGTGTTGTCACAGTCAACAATAATCTTGCCACTCACCCATCCATCCAACCATACTCATCTCATGCATTCTCCCCTCAGCCTTGATGCTACTATATGCTTCATTGAGCTTTTGGGACTTCTCAAACCCTACCTGCTTTCTCTCCAGTCTCCTGCAATTGTTGATCCCCCAAATACCCTGCCTTGGAATGTAGCAGCCTTCCTTTGTGATGCTCTGGTCATTTCTGAGGATCAACTTCATCAAGCTTGGCTTGCTCTCCAGAACCATATTTGGGAACATGATCTACTGGATACAGATGCTCTAGCTGCTAGGACTAAGCATATAGGCACATTTCTTAAGTATGGCTTGGTCCAAAATCGTGAAATTGGTATGTGAAGCATACTTATGCTGTTATAAAATAACTGACACTTGAATTATAGGAATATATTCTCTTGAACCTCCAATGCGCACATGTCCTGATCCTACCTGTGGGCCAACTATGAGGGACAATCCGGGTGAAGTTCTTGAGCGTGACCTTGTAGAGTCAAGTCGCCTTCAAGTTACTATATTCACCAGGGAGTTTGGAGCAATTCCTGCATTTGCCAACTCAACTTATTGCCGCAGTGAGTATTTTATTATTATTATCATTTATTTTAATATTAATTTTTTTTTAATTTAGAATGTTACACCCGGTACTTTCATAATTACCGAGTTCAAGGGAATATTCGCAAATATCACATGCACGAGAATATACAGTTCATCCAGATCGGGACCCATTTTTATGTTGAGCGCAGTCTTTGCGAACTCTTTAGCGTCATGATGGCAACAGCATGGTTCGTCTAAGCCTATTTAACGATATGAAACATTTGGACTAACTAATAGATAGGACTTCATCAACAAATTGTGCTCGTATCTATCACGAAGGCCTTTCAAACCCGCATGTCTCTCGTCTTCTTCCACCTGATTGGCGATTTGGGTTTGAGCTGGATGTCAAAGCAGTCTCCAACGCATTCTTTCTCCATTCACTTCTGTTGGATCACAGCCGCCGTGGAACAGTTCTGGAGCTCCTTCATCAAGCATCATCACCCGCGCGGAGCGCCTCCGCCCTGCTCTTGAGCAGCGTAACTTGCTTATGGCTGGCACCGGTCAAGATGAATGGAACCATGGCTGTACAACCTGCTGTTGGTTTGATGAACAAGCTGACGGCACAACGAGTGAGCCTCCTGCACCACTTGTGATATTCTAGTCGCTAACTCATCCCTAGCTGTTGTTCGGTCCACTGTAACAGATGGTGTGACTTTAGGACGCCCGTGTTGCGGTGTCCATAACTGTCTTGAACGACTGGCAAATGTCAAAAAGCGATTTTGCGAGAGGCATGAGCACTTACATAGTGTTTGCGCCGTCAAACAGTGCTCTGAGCCAGCTAGCACCGGCTACCGGACTTGCGCCGAGCCCACCCATCGCTGGCTAGAGACCTACCACGAGTTGGCGGGCAAGGGCATGTTTCAACTTAAACGGCGCCTCCAACGAGCACAAACCTCACAACCTAATGATGCACTCTCATCTGGAGTGACTGAGCCTGATTCCGATGAAGAGACTCTTGAAGGCGATGGGGCGGACAGCAATGAAGATATTGAACTCGATGTTAACACAATTGTGTGTGATGGCAAGCCAGAAACGGGCAATCGTATCGTCCGTGCACGCTTTGGCCGCACCATGACCCACAATGAAGAGCTTTGTGTCTCCTCATGTGGGATCATTCTGGGTCGCGCCACGTTCTACGGGTCTGAAGCTCCCAACGCCGTCGTGGTGAGTTGTCAACTTATAATCCACGAGACAGTCATATTAATGACATATGTAGCAGTTCTGGGAGGCGTTGTTCCCAACGAAAAAGTCCCTTCCACAAGTATTATGGCACGACAACAACTGTCGCATCATGGCTATGCTTCGGAATGAGCCGCAAGCCCGCCAGGATTACTTCAAAGATGTCGCAAAACCTGTCGATGTCTTCCATTTCAAGTGCAAACACAAGGAAGGGGACCTCGACTGTGGACGGGATTGTAATGCCTTAATCTGGCCCGAGCTTTCTGTCAATGGCAAATGGCGCTTCAACTCATCGGCTGCCGAACAGACAAATGCATGGTTTGGTGGGTTTCAATCTATTGTTCGTGAGATGCCGGTGGAGCGCTACGAATTCTTCCTCGATGAGGTGATTCGGCGTAGAAATATCTGGATGGTCAAGTTGCTTGCTCAACGTGGCTGTCTTCCGCATTCAATTCCACGAGAGGAGCTGCTTGGGCATTCTTAGTAGATCTAGACAGTTGTATTGCGATTACTTGAACAGAAAAAAACTCGACATTGACTCTAAAAGACAGTCTACAATGATAAATTCTTCGCAACATTCGCAAGATAGTGCTGGGCAGCCTCGCAGGCCTGCGCTTCACTACCATCTGGATGCAGTATCTTCCCAAACTCGTAAGTTGCTACGACTAGAGCTCTAGCAGATGCAAGGGTAATTCCACGGTCTTGGCGAATGATACGGAGAACGGCCTCGGGAATAAGGACCTCCTGGATGAAGATGTCGTAGAGGAGTGGCTGACAAAGCTCAATGAGCGATTGCGTCCCGGGGAAACATGGCCTGGATAGCAAGTGAAACGATCTCGTATCCAGGCTCTCCATAACTGCATAATAAGTTAGCATTGAGGAAGACACAATCGGTAACTTGATAATGGAAAGACTCACTATGCTGCCCCAAACTTCGCTCTTCGCGTATCTGAGAGTTCTTGATCCATACTTGGAGTTTGCGAAAGGCGACGATGATCATCACAAGATTCGCGGAAAAATCGACTGTTGTCGATATCCTCCACCAGCTCCTCCAGGATGGCTTTGAGTGCACAGATCCGTGAGAAGAGCGAGGAAAAATCGGGCGCAAATGGCCAATTTTCGGCATATGCAGTCGGAAATGTTGTCCGCTCAAGCTCGTGGCGCAAACAGAAGTCCATCCGCTTCTGGAATGATATGTTGCGATGATGGGGGTTGTCGGGTAAAGGAAATGGGAGCGATGCCAAAAGAAGTGGCTCAAGCATTTGTTGCAATGCCGGAGACAAGAGCTCTGGTAGTAGTTCATCGCAGAACGAGCATAAGTTGCCAGCTGCATCAGATTCAGGCTTGTCGACAATGGATTCGGGCTCATCGAACGAGATAGTCGGAAGGTCTAGAGAGGGAGAAAGCGGAGAGAGTGTGGGGAAGGATTGCCGGCAGGTGGTTGAATGTAGGACACGACCAAAGTCTTCGCTGAGAAGAAGAGTTCGATGCGCTTCATCGTAATCTTGATGGAGCGCCGCCATGATCAGCGCAACTTGCACCTCCGGAACGACGACTTGATGTATAAAAGTCGAAGCCGGAAGTGGCAGGCACGTTGTTCCATCGATGTCATTCCCATCTTGCTGGAAATAGTCATTGACGGCCTTGGACACTTGGGCGAGTCCAATTGTTCCGAAACTAAGTAAATTAACATCAGAAAGGAACAAAGAAAGTGGAGAAGCAACGCACTATCCGGGATGTCCGTGAAACTCAGCAGCGTGTTCTCGACGGAGAACTGCATTCTCAAAGAAAGGGCTTGCCCTTGGGTCATCAAGAAGTGGCTGGACTACCTCAGCGATCACTGCGCAACTCGTCGAATATAGCGCCAAGTAGTCAATTGTTTCTGGCCAGTCTTGCTCCCGCCCTAAAGGTAATATCGTTGCTTCTTCACGGTGTTGTTGGCAGTAATCGCCAGCTGAAATGCCTCCTTGCTCAAACTGTTGCCGCATCCCATGCAGCTTTGGCGAAGGAATGAGCTCGTAAGCTAAATTACAGACAGGACAACGACCAAATGGCGCCTCGACAATCTCCTGAAAGATACTCTCGTCGAATGGCTCCAACCCCGCTAGACCATCATCGAACACAAGTTCGGTCGCTACCTCAGTGGCCTGGGGCTCGGGTAACTGTACGACTGCAGGCAGACGACTAGAAGGCAACACTGACGCCGTGGCTTGTGAGACAGATGGGGAAGTCGGAGCTACTGGGGGGAGCGAGGAAGGCAGTGATGCACTCGTCCTCGGGCTAATACCGGTTTGAGCTTCGGCGAAAAGACTTTTGAGCGATGCCTCAGGCACCCGACCCATAGCAAGGTAGTGGTTGACGAGCTTTTGCGGCACCTCGTTGAAGCGTTTTTTATAGCCGGCAACTGTGGGCTTCACGTAAGGGATCTTAAAGACTACCGGAAAGGCATTCTTATTGAATCGATAGATGGGATGTCGTTGACGCTCGTATTCTTTAATCGTCTCCCAGCCATCGACCCATTCCGAGACAGGAATATGTGCAATGGTGCGTGTCGACGCTACAGCGGTCACCGGTGGGGGCACTATGGTATTTTCTCGCGCATGGGCTGGAGGGGCAGGAACGGGTAGAGTTGGTTGCATTGGAGTCACATTTGGAGTCGGTGAAAAGAGGCGTTCATGGATAGTTGGTCCGGTTGCAAGACTGCCGCTGACTACCAGATGTCGGGCGACATCGCCAGCGCTGCTCTCGGAGGTTGTCTTGGCCACCTTCGAAGGACTAGATGGAAGCTGGTCACTTGTGCTGAAATCATCGAGACGGCGCTTGCGAGGAGAGCCCCGCGGCGAGACTGCTGCATGCGGCGGTTGACGAGACACCGGTTGGAGCTCAAGCTCCCGGTCTAGCCCTGGGCAGTCAATAACAGCCCACTCGTCGTCCAGCGATGGTCGTCGTTTGAGAATGACGGCGCGCCCGGTTTCCACTGTGAAGACGCTGGAAGTCGAAATGATCTTCCATTTTCCGTTCTCGTGCAAGTCAAACATCTCAGATGGACCGAGAGTGAGCATTGTGAGGATATGGGGGAAGTTGTCGAGCCTCATACTGGGGTAGGTTGGAACGGGAACGGGGAAGCGGGCAGCTTTGATAGATTTCTGGTCATAGATATCAGAAGAATGAAAACGGGAAAGTAACGAAATATTTCCAACCTTCCAATAAATAACGAGCTCGACTTCGACCTTCCGCTGTGACTCCATTTCGAGTTTGAGAGATTTGGAATCAAGAACAGTGGCTGTCATTGACTGCTGAGCAAGTATACGCTCTTGCCATGCTGGGCTGATTGTTTGCGCGAGGCCCCTTTCGACGTGCCGCAGGACGAGGAGCGGCAGAGACAGAGACAGTAGTCGGGACAGCGGAGGCACCAGATTGGGCATGACTGCGTGTAGTTCGTGTGTCCGAATTCGGTGTCGTGTATAGATGGTGGTCAGAAACGCCTTTGACTTGATGCGCCTTGCACGGATCTCGCGGCCGACAGGGCATCGCTTGGGCGGCTTCACGCTCCGCTGCTCCACAACACCCTTTGCAGAGTGATTCGATACATTTCACAGCCCCAGCGGTACGATTTCCCGAGCGGGTTGTACAGGCTGGGTTGCGGCAGAATATTCCTCCCACAGGATTTGATACAGGGTCGGGATTGGGTGGTGAAAGTCGTAGTGGCAGACACAAAAGCTCTGGTGGGATGGTTTGGCCGCTAGATCGCCGTTTGAACCGCTCGACAAAAGCTTCAGCATCGGCCCAATGGTAAAAGTCGGTGGTGTGAAAAACTGTATAGTGGCAGCGAGGATTCGAGCACTAAGAGAGGGCGCTGTGAGCAGCATTCAAGAGGTGGCAATGGCATACGCACCGTCTGCACGATTCGTCCGCGGTCCCGGCGTCCATTTTTCGCGTCGTTGGTGCCATCGTGGACGCGGAGGGGTCCCATATGGCTGCCACAGCTGGGTTCTCCACAGGTAGCTCGTGCAGCAAATACGGGGTCGGGTAGGGACGACATGGAAGGGTAGGGTGGGAGGGCAAAAGAAACCTGGTCGCGCTTTTATACGCGTCGCGGTGGATGTCCAAGCACAGCTGGCCAAAGCGCAGGGGCGCGTAATGCCGGCATCACGCGTGAGGTCTATGTGGCGGTCTACGGCGGAGGTCTACGGTGGAGGGCTACGAGGTCTACATGGCGGTCTTGAGAAAAGGTCTGCGTCACACGTCATGACGGCACTTACCCGATTAGGCCAGGTCTACTGATGGGGTCTCATAGACCAGTCTAATAGACCGGTCTACGAGACCACCCTCCTTACAAACGGAACGTTCTCCGAGGCGCTGGCGCGTGGACGGCTTGTCAGAAACGCCATCCAGCGATGTGTTTCGCAGGACTTCGACCTTCACCTGAGAAATTCATCAGTCACTTGCAACAGAGGGAAACAGGACCTAAGCACCTCCTTGCCCGGGTTTACCCGTCTGCCGGCCGGGTCGAACGGCGCCGGAGACGTGAAATCTTACCAAACGAAGTCACCGAGCCCTGTAGTATTGTCACAGTGTCGTTTCTAGCTCCAAATCATTCAAATGAAATAAACAAAGAAAGAACAAAGAAACCTTGGCTCCCGTTGGAACCGCCGTTGGGTCTGCCATAAGGTCTGTCAGACAGGGTGTCAATCATACTGCCATCTCGCGGGCCGCCGTTGACATTGCGCCCGGTGTGAGGAAGTTATAAATCAAATTCATAACACAGAAATTTTGATAAAGTTGGGAGACCTGCTTGGAATTTCTCAGGAATTAAGAGAAGGTGAAAGAAGAAAACTCACCAAAGTTAGACAGAAAAATGATGCACAGAACCCTGAGCCGATTCAGGAAGTAAAAGAAATTTCACTTCCTTTTCCTGATTCAGGTGGCTCAGATTTGACAGATGACGCACTCAATATGGATGAATTACCTTCAGTTCATGGTGTATTTATCACAAGTTCCATTGATTCTGGTATTCCTGCTGGATCAATCATTGCAAAAGATCCATACTTAGAATATCTGGATAACTTGGACAGGGATGAAAAGCCCAGACAAGTTTATGTTGCTTGGGAGTCAGCTCCACTTCGTGTGACATTCCCACTAGTGAACAATAGGGAAAAAGTAGAAGGTCTACTTGACTCTGGCTCACAAATTGTTTCCATGTCTCTGGAGATTGCAGAGAGATTGAAACTTTTATGGGATCCAAATATTAGAATATATATGGAAAGTGCCAATGGAGACATGGAACTATCAGTGGGAATGGCCAGAAATGTTCCATTTAAATGGGGAGAAATGACTGTATACTTACAGGTTCATGTGATCAGGAACCCTGCATACAAGATACTCCTTGGAAGGCCATTTGATACACTAACTAGAAGTCAAATCAATAATTCAGAAAATGGACAAACATTGACTCTGACTGACCCAAATACTGGCAGAACTTGGTTTGTGAAAACCTATGATAGGGTTAAAGATACCAAGCCAACTAAGACACCAAAAGCCACAGTTGAGTCAGTACCAGATGAAGATGATCCATTACCATATCACAAGACTGCTGAGTCAAATGAGGGTTTTCACCAATCTTCAATGAATTCCTGAATAATCAAGAAGGAGAAGAGTTGGCAATTCAAATAGAATATGACCCAGAAAATGGTGGAAAAATTACAGGAATATTTAGACCAAGGAAAAATAAATTTACTCCAACAGAAGTGAGGGAGGCATATATTAGTGCATCACTAGAGTGTCAAGCACTGAAACAAGATAAAACTGCTACAGTTTTGTTCAATGAATTCCATTCAGGATCAACAGTATCCAAACCAGAGAATGGTAGAAACCTTGAAGTGTTTACTTGGAGTACTGTCAAAGGTGACGTACAGAAAGACAGAACAGCACATGTCTTTGACAAGGATGTGAGATGTGCTTGTTGTCAATCCATAGACATGATCACTGGTGAAAATGAGAGTACATATGCTGAGTCAGAGAAATATCCCTCTGAATCAGTATTTGCAGGTAAGAAATATAAACCTGTTGGACTTAAAGTAAGACCAGTTTACACTGAGTTACCTGATAAGTACCGGATAAAACGGGAAATAATTGGTGACCCTCTTCAGAATATACCAAAACTAAACCCTAATCCTCCAGAATTCAAACCAACTGGTAGATATACTCAGGAAAGGAAAGAAACTGTAGAAAAATTACATGGAAATAAATTCCTGCAACCAGAGGAATATAAAGTCCTCCATCATCTCATGAGCAACCAAGAAGAAGGCTTTGCATGGAATGATGGAGAAAGGGGAAGCTTTAGACATGACTTCTTCCCACCAGTAGAATTTCCACTTATAGAACATGAAACTTGGGTAGAGAAAAACATTCCTATACCAAGAGGACAACTAGAGGAATTTATGAAAGTCATCAAGAAGAAAATTGATGCAGGGGTATATGAACCATCAAATGCAGCATACAGAAGTAAATTCTTTGGTGTTGTCAAGAAAGATGGCAAAAGCATCCGTTTAGTTCATGCTCTGGAACCATTGAATGCGGTAACAATTGCACATTCTGGTATTCCACCAGCCACAGAAGAACTAGCAAATCATTTTGCAGGAAGAGCTTGTGGAGGATGTCTTGACTTATACTCTGGATATGATCACAGAGATATTGCAGAAAGCTTAAGAGACTTTACTACATTTCAAACACCCTTTGGTGCATTGAGACTTGTGAAACTACCACAAGGTTGGACCAACTCAGTTCCAATATTTCATGATGATGTTACTTTTATTCTCCAAGATGAGATTCCTCATATAACAATTCCATACATTGATGATATTCCAGTCAGAGGACCAGGAACCAGATATCAATTGAAAGATGGAACTTATGAAACACATCCTGAAAACCCAGGGATAAGACGATTTGTCTGGGAACATCTTGAAAATATAAATAGAATTATTCAGAGAATCAAGTATTGTGGAGGAACCCTATCAGGTACCAAGTCAATCATCTGTGCTGAGGAATTTCATGTTGTTGGTCACCTTTGTTCATTTGAAGGAAGGAAACCTGACACAGACAGAGTGGGAGTTATATTGAGATGGGGACCACTTAAGGATGTATCAGATGTTAGAAAATTTCTAGGAACAATTGGAGTCATGAGAATGTTCATAAAAGATTATGGTACTCTGGCCAGACCAATTCAGAAATTAACTAGAAATGATGAGACATTTGAATGGGGACCAGAACAGCAACAAGCTATGGACAGGTTGAAACAAGCAATAGCTATTGCACCGTGTCTCAAACCTCTAAACTACAGTTGGGACTCAGATATTGTGTTGGCTGTAGACACATCATGGATGGCAGTTGGCATACAAATATATCAGCTAAACCCAATTGATCCAAAAATAAGGTACTATGCAAAGTTTGCATCCATAACCTTAAATAGAAGGGAAGCCAGATTCTCTCAACCAAAAAGGGAACTCTATGGTCTAAAAAGAGCATTAGAAGCTATGCAGTACTGGCTGCTAGGATGCAGACGTCTGGTAGTGGAAACAGATGCACTGTTGTGGTAGCTGGGCTGGGCCGCGTGTGGTAGCTAGACTGATGCAATGATATGTGACTAGTGTGACATGATCCGACTACGGCCCGACGCCCGGCCTCCCATCACAGGTGCCCCCATTTAAAATGGCGTCGTCCCCGACGCCTGCACCCCTTCTATGCGCTTCAGCTCCGACTCCATGTCCTCCACCCTTTTCCGCTCGGCCATCTCACCCTCCCTCTCTCTTGCCACCTGATCTGCTTCGTTGTACCTTCCCTTGCTTGTTCTTCCCGTACCCTCTCCATGAACGCGCTTTGTTCCGCTGCCAGCTCCGTCCCGTTCCTAGGTGTGAATCTCCTGAGTCTTCGTGCGCTGTAATAGCCCGACGCCGCTATTCCTTCCAGTGTTTCCAACTCATATGAGTTTACTCTTCGCGCTCTTACTCGATGTGGGTCGCTCCATGGCCCTTGTATCTTGCGGTCCGCGCTTAAAGTCTTCATTCTTGCTGTGTCGTAAACCTGTACCAGTTCTCCGATGCCGAACTTCACCTCTCCCGCTCTCGACTTCTGTACCGCCTTATCGAACAGCGCTCTTCTTTTGTCTGCGTGCACTAAGCGATTCTCGTAAGCGTCGAGACGTTGCTGCTCTGCGTAGCGCATGTGGTTGTGGATCTCGGCTTCCGTCGGCCCGCGTTGTTGCTACCAAGACTGGGGTCGTTGTTGTGTTGACCGCCTTTGCAAATAGAATTTCCTTGGGTGTGTACCTGATTGAAGGTAGAATCCGTTGATTGAGTATGTGCAATGCTTGCCTGAAATGCCTTGGCCACGTTGCCGGCAGGTCTTCCGCCTTCGTGTTCCTCCAACCGTCCTCCCCTAGCTTTGGCGCGCACAGCCTTGCTAGGACAAATATCAGCAGTTTGTTCGTACCTTCCACCAGCCCGTTGACCCATGGTGAATATTTGGGCACGGGCATAAACTGTGTACCCCATTTGTCACACGTCGCCTTGACCGCTTTGTTGACGAAATGCGAGCCATTGTCCACCATCAGGGCCTCCGCTGGCATGTAGTCCCGGAATAAGTTGTCAAGCACTTCCACCGTGTTTCCTCCCGTTCCCCGCGCCCTTGTATATCTCGCCCCATACGTGTTGCGACGCCACGTCTATGTACAGCCCCGTTGTCTTGAAGCCATCCACGCCAAGCGGCAGCGTCATGTAATCTGCAGCGATCAGTTCAAATGGGTGTCTCCTTATAATCGGCCTTAGCAATGCATGGATCGCTGTTGGGCCGAAGTTCTTGCACTCGGCGCATTCCTTTATCGCGGCTACAATTGAGTCGTCCATTTTGGGGCTGTGAAATCTATCCATGAGCGCTATCTTGATATGATCTCTGTG